TATATATATATATATATAAAACTTTGTTGTTAGGTACCCTCAAGTTGGTTCTGATTCATAGCAACCCTAAGCACAACAGAATGAAACAGTGCCCAGTCCCAAGCTGTCCTTACAATTGCTGTTATGCTTGAGCACATTGCCAGTCCATCTCGTTATGGGTCTTCCTCTTTTTCACTGACCCTAGATTCTCTCCAGGGACTTAGCCCTTCAGATAACATGTCTAGTGTATGGGAGACGGACTTACACTTTGGGTGGCTGCTTGGTTGTGTGTTGTAAAGTCTATTCCAACTCACAGTGACCCTGTATAAGGTTTCCAAGGCTGTAAATCTTTATGGGAGCAGAAAGCCTCATCTTTCTCACGCGTAATGGCTGGTGGATTTGAACTGCTGACCTTGTAGTTGGCTGCCCACCATGTACCCCACTATGCCACACCATCTTAATTTGAGAACTCTGCATTAATTTAAGAGACTTTCAAAAGTTTTAAAATATGAATTGGTCATTAAGAGTTTAAAAAGTCTCCCATCCAGAACCTTCTGAGGTGGGACATCCCCACTAAAAAGCTGCAAGCAGACCAGCGTGGAAAAGCTAGTGCAACAGAAGACAGACACATCTTCAAAAAACAGAGCATCAGGAAAAAAACAAAAATGGCAGTATGACTGGCTACTACAAGAACAAGCAAGTTGTTTGCCAGAAAGTCATAAAGGCAAGCAATCAAGTTCCTTCAGGACTCTGCTCTAAGACTGAAACTCAAAGGGAACACATGAACAGGCATGTAAGCTTGCTGGTGACCACATTGGTCTACTGGAGAGTGGAAGAGGAGGAAAGGCAGCAATGAAGAAATGGGCTGAGTTCAACCACGTTCCATAGACTCCTGTTGACCTGGAGATGAGAAAGAGAAGAGTAAGGGCTGGTTGGTCCAAAATGTGGTGAGACCTGGGGACACCTGAGCCTATGGACAGGGACATAGTCACAGAGGGCTAGAGCTGAGAGTGAAGCATCCAGCTGATATGAAGT